CTCAATTACAGCACCAACAAAATTGAGATTCTCAATCATAATTACCTTCAATTTAACATCCTTTTTCTTAAAAATTTACTTAGTTCCAACTCTGTCATCTGTTTTCTTCCTGTCTTGATGGTAAATAAGAGCTTCTTTCTGTTTACAAACTCCATCTGTGTGTTTAGCCCAATCCCTTGTCCTAAGACCTTCCAGTCATCCTCTCTTTTTTCTGTATTTTCAAGCTATCTTTTCCTAAAAGATCCTTTCCTCCAGCCTATAAACACACGATGTATTTCTTATTCTAAAAGAAAGTAACCTACTTTGATATCATATAGCCCTATCCAATATCTCTCCTCTACACTCTTTTGCTGTATTTATTTTCTTATTCCTGAGTCACACCTCAGGCCACCACAATATGCTTTTTTTCCCTCAGCACCCTTCTGAAATCACCCTATCTAAAATCACCATTGACTCCTCACTCGACAAATCTAATGGGCATTTTTTACTTATTATTTATACTGTTGACATTATTTCTTCCTTCTTAAAACTCTCTATTCTTTTAGCTCTATTCTTACTCCTCTCATGCTTCCTTCTCTATGTCTTTCAGAAGCTTCTTTTCCTCTGTCTACCACTTAAATGTTAATCTTTCCCAGGGCAGAGGAAAACTCCTTGGTCCTCATTTCATGGGTTGTTTCTCTGGTTCATTTCGCTTTCATTTTTGTGGCCACTTCCCATTAGTGGGGAATTTACTCCCAGATTGCTCTATGGTGCCTAAACTTCTTCTGTAAGCTTTAAAATTATTCATTTTACTCCTTGCTAGAGGTTTCCCCTTAGCCCTCTCAGTAATTCCAAAACTGAACTTGTCTCTCACCTAACCGACTCCTCCCTTAACAACCCCCCCCACCTTTGTTAAGGTACCACATGCATCCAGTTACCCAAGCTATAAGACTAGAAGTATTTCTTGACTCTTTGCTCCCCCTCAACTTCCAAATCCTATTATTTACCAAGTATTATTGATTTTAACTGATTAAGTGTCTCATCTTCTCTGTATCTCTCTCTATCCACTACCTTACTTAGTTCAGGCCCTCAAAGACCTGCTGTCCTAGACCAAGGCAAATACGTGCTTTTTTTTTCTCACATAATTTTCTCTCAAAGCAATCATCCACATCTTTAGAGTAATTATTCTAGAGTGAATAAATATATTATAAACTGTAATTAAAACTCTTCAAAGTACCTCTATCACTTGGATCATAAGTTAGATCTAAGTTCCTTAACAGAGCATACAAGGTCATTCGTAATTAGGACCATCTCTATCATTCCAGATTCATTTCCTGCTACTCCCTACCTTGTGGATAATGCCCCAACAGTACTAAAACATGGTGTTTATTATTATTTTAGCGAATTTGCTCATACATTTCTTTAAAATTCCACTGACATCCTACCTTACCTTCATATAAAACTAAATAATTCCCATTCCTCCTTTAAGATATAGCCCAGTTGTTGTCTCCTCCGTGACATTTTTACATAAAAGTCCACCAACCATGCTGTCCACCATCAATGTCAGTGATTCCTTAATATCCTGTGTGTGGCTTTAAGTAGAGATAAATATTAGGAAAAACGTATGGTAAGGTGGCAAATTTTTAAATATAAAAGGTATATTTATTAAAATAAAGGATATATCTTAATAAAGGAATATTAATAAATGCTAACATGATATCCATTCTAAATATTTTTGTCTAAATGTTGACTATGTTTTAAAATACACAATGAATCAGGGATAACTTTGTAATGGTCAGTATAAACTAGCCAGAAGAAAAAGAGTTTTGATTCCTAATATTAGCTAATATTCGTCTTCTGAAGTAATATAAAATAACTTAAGCAAATATTATATAAGCCTCTATTCACTTGTTCCAAAGAGAGAGACTCATAATGTTTCATTTTACAGCCTTGGGGTAGAGACCAATGATTCTGATTCTTCACACTCAGGATGCTATGTTGAGTTTACCACATTCATTCCATTCAGAAAATTCCAGATTTCATATAGCCAAACTATGGCCCACTTGGAGCTATTAACACATATTTATTCCCAGAAGGGAAATTCTCAGACCATGACAGTAAATGCCACCTTGAAATCTGGGCTGGGAAACTGGACACTTAGAGAGTTGGTGTCACTTTCTTTTTTTTTTTCCCCCACAACCCTCAATAAGGAGGTCACTTTTCCTCTAAGTGTTGAGTTATTTTGACTCAAGAACAATGTAGCAAGGGACCTGAGGATATTTCTGAGAATGCATTCAACCTCTGGATATGTAAGTATATAAAGAAAAGTGGAGACTAATCAGGAAAGGTAAAGGGGTCAAGAGAGTAGAGTTCTCTATTGAGATAAAAGAACTAGTGAGGTAGAAGTAACTCAATGAAAGAATAAGAAAGAACTATGTGCAGTTCTGGTCCAAGAGTGGAGTATTTGAATTAAGATTTCAAAGGTAGAACAATTTCAAATGATGATAAGATTCCGAGTATGGCCATGGGAGTGACTGAAGCAGAATCAGGGGTGAATTTCACTAACTCCAATTTGAGACAGTCAAGGAAGTAAGCGGGTGCTGAATAGATCATTCAGGTGAATGCTAACATCATTCAGGCTGATGGCAGGAATTGTGATGAAGAGGAAGACTAGAGCCAGCTGCTAAAATCTTGACTGAATTAAATGGCATAACCAAGAGACCAACAGATGATATCAACATGGAAGGGTAATGAGTGGTTGTGCTCAGTTGTATTACATATGAAGGTACAGTGGTTAAATTAATGACAAGAAGCATAACCACGTTATGGTAATAAATAAAGGAGAATGGACAGATGACTAGACAAGCTTTTATATCTTCAACAATCCTAGAATCTCATGGTGGATTGAGGTGGGGGTTAGAGGGAATGAGTAACTCAGAAAGTTAGCAAAGTGAAAACAAATGATCAGTCACTTAAAAAAAAGCAAAGGAAGAGAAAGTTAAACTGAAAATTCAGCACAGCATTTACTACCTCTGTGGAAGAGGCATATGGATGCAAGAGGCTTGGAGCCTACAGGTAGATGCAAGGTATATAACCATATGTTCTGGTTCTCAGTTTGGGTAGTAGATTCATGGGTGTTCATTTTATTATTATGCTTTGAAATGCATATACATAATTTTGTATGTATCAAAGTGATAATGAGAAAAGATAACATTTTAAAATGCATCTCAAGAACTTCTTCCGTACAAAATCTACTCTACTCAATTTTTCTAGGAGTTGGTATATGCTAGACTAACAAATTTGAATCATTTAAGTGATGTCAAATCTTACAGTAAGATATTTGATAACTGATTTTCCTGTGTTTTACTTTAATATAAACATCAATGATGTTGTGTTTCCTGACCACAAACCAAATCATGGCACCAAATCATAGGCAGTTCAGAAATGTACTCTTCAGAATAGGCCAGCTAGGCTGAGATTGAGAATTTGGGTAAGTGTATGAAATTGAAAACCAACCTAGAGCTGATCAAGAACTATCTACATTCATTTATTGAAAGAATAAATAATATGAAGCAGACAATCTACTTATTGATAACTAAGACTAAGAAAAATACAGAGTATTAAAAAACTAATGTGATTTTAACTTACACTGAAATGAAGAGATACCAGGGTAAGTAGAATAAGCCTATAATCAGGAATGGGTCTCATTCACATCAACCACCTTAAGAAAGGTCTTAGCCAATTATAAGGCCAGTTACATAATTACTTTTTCACATTTTTGCAAGGTAAATGTATAATCACTGCAACCAAAAAATAGTCCTAATGTAATACACAGCAATAGTAAAAATAAAAGACATAACAAAAAAGTAAGAATTATTAGTATTGAAGCAAAATAACAGAAAAGACTGAGAAAATGCAAAAGAATATTAAATATAGCAATAACTACTATCATATAATAAACTAGAAGGAACTAAATTTCAATTATATTTACTAAAAGATATCACAAAACTTTTGAATTATTAGGAATTTATTGTTGATGTTCTCTCTTACATTTCCTTCCACATTTATCTACATGAATCCAATCCTTAGGAATTTGTCTGTTTCATTTTTTTTCTAAACTCTTTTATTCTCAACTCTTAGTTAACTAAATTAATAGGATAAAAGTGGTCACATATAACCCAAATCACTTTGAAACAATAGTCAGAGTGAGTACAGGACACAATTCCTTACCTATACTAGCTGAAACCACCACCACATTATCACTGCCTTTCTCTTCTCTGCCTACAGGGCCTCAAAATGCTGTCACTGAACTGGCTCAAATCTCTAATGCTAAATATAGCCTCGAGAAACTGCAAACTTGAGAGATCTTCTTTCCCTTCTCTTTCTAGTTAATCGTCCTTTCTGTTAAATGCCAAGTTATTGATATTCCCCTTCACTATAAGGGGAATGGTGGTAGAAATGAACAAGGATTTTTCCAGAGACCCAGTATTCTCCATGGATCCAGGATCATCTACTATGACCAAGGAGTAGATCACAGTCACCTTTCACAAGGTAACCATAAGCCGAACAGTTCAGCCTGAGTACTTCAAAGACTGACTCCTGGACTGTGGAAGGAAGTGGGTCGTTAAGCTATGTATAAATCAACCGGTACTGTTTAAATATCTAATTAGGAACTCCACTGAGGAAGGTGGGCAGTAAACTGCAATTAATTTTTTAAAATACTGTTTTTCTATCTTTATAGGTAATCAAGAGTTAACTGTAATTTCTGGTGAACTAAATTTTTAGAATCATCAAAGAGGTGATCCTAGCAAATTAAAGGGAAGCCATATTTTTGACATCCTACTACAATTAAAGTTTTTAAATATGCTTTATTTTCTACTATTTTATAAGGATAATATTTCTATATTTCATTAATAACCATATATGTATATATAAAAAACAGAAATAGAAGTGAATTATATCATATCAATAGACAGGCACATGCAATTCTATGAACAGACTCAATTGTAAGAAAAATATACCTGCCATCCCTGTGATGGTGTTCAATGGTCTGACTGTTTCTGGAGCGAGGTAGAGTAAGAAAATGACTGCAAGCATGGCAGAAACAAGAATATAAATGAGACTCAAGAAAGAAATGAAAAAGGAATAGTTTAATTTTAAAATGTGAGATTCAAAAGAGATAAGCAGATAGTAAGCAAAGCAAATGAAAATCATTACTGGAAAGCTTGTTCTTTCCTCCCAAGGTCCATTGCAATATGGCAGTGCTAAAGGTTAAAATAGTGTAAGTATTCTAAAATAAAACAACAAAAATATAACAAATTGAGATTTAAACAAATCATATTTCAAAAAAATCTTATCACTCAAACATCTTCAGCACCATCTATAAAATGTTATACAATATAGACACTTTCCCATTTTTCAGGTGGAAAGATAAGAAGAGAAAAACAATAAAATAACCAGAAAGTTCAAGAAGAAAATAATAAAAAAGGTAACTTGTAAAACTTATTATACTTAGGAGATTTTATAAGGTAATTATTTCTTTTTCAATCATTAAGAATTAAAAATAACTAAAAGGGCTTTAAGAATTCCATTTAGCAAGGGACAAACTGATTCAAATTATTTTTACTTGATTATTAATTCTATTTATTAAATTTATTGAATGCTATTCATTTTTCCATTTACTATGTTTATTATATGTTTACTACATGCTATTGGCTCTGCTCATTTCATGCGTCATGACTGCCATAAGCCATCAAAGGAGCACACCCATCTGTAGTTGATTCTCTTCTTTCCATTGCACTAAATTAAAATTTTCTATTTCCTTAAAACTCTTCATATTATAACACTTAATTTTGGCAGATGATTATCATGTTTCATCAAAAAATGGAAACCAACCTTGAACTCTCTCAACTTCCATACTTCTACCTTTAAATATAGAGAAATATGTATTTTTATCTTCACTTGTCCTTTTCATTTGCACCAAAGGAAGAAATTCCTCTACTTGTAATCCTGCTTCCCACATGACCTTACTTCACTCATTATTGTCTCATGCCATCCCTTCCTCAACTGCACTTAATCCTAAAAATAAAACCTTTACTGACCTTGCCTTCCTCTCAAGCCATTGTATCTCTGACTTCCCTTTCATCATAAAACATCTTAAAAGACATATTTACAATTCTTGCCACCACTTTCTGATTTTTCGTTCATGCTTTAAGCTTATTGTAATTTGACTTCTACCTCTACCATTCTGTGAGGCTATCTTGTCAATGTTATCTGTGGAATCCTAAAAAAATCCTTTAATCTCCTCTTGATCTTCATCATACTACAATTATCTATGGTATTAGACACTGATTTTCAGCCTCTATTTCTTCACACTCTCTCCTCCACTGGTTTCTGAAAAACTATTCTCTTTGGCTATTAAAAACAGTCTTTATTTAACCTTAACTATGTGCCAATTACTCCATTAAAGCTTTGTCTACTTTATCTCATTTAGTTGTCACAACAACTCTTTGAGGTAGGTTCTAGTATTCCCACAGGTGGAGAAACTGAGGCTGTGACTGTTTGCCCACAGCCATATTGTAAGTAGCAGGAATGATTTTCAAACTTTGGCCTTTCTTAATCCACAGTTCAGGCTCTTAAGATTTAGACATATGGCCTGGCCTCCCACCTATCTAGCTGCTTCTTTATCTGTTTCATTTACTGGATTCCTTTTCTCTGTATTCCTTAGGGCAGTGCTTTCCCAAGATTTGTTCCTGGACCTTCTTTATATTCCAATACATTCTTTTTGGATAATACTATTTGTTTTTATAGTGTAAATTCTCATTTTGCTTTAGTCTTGATTTTTATTTGTGTTTCACAGCATAATTCCATCCGCCTCTGGGCTCTCTGCATGGCTGCTTGAGTGTCATGTAGACACTTCAGAAAAACACACGTTAACTGCGCGGCTTGAGCAAGATACTTGCCTTTTGGGACATCTGGTGCTACATTTGTAAAATGAGGGGGCTGGAGCAGTAGTTAAACTTTCTTTTTGAGCAGAAGACCCATTTGTTTTATCAAACCAAATTTATGTAAAACTAATATATAGGAATCCAATAATATTAGAATGACTCTGGCTAAAGTCTCTCTTCAGATCCTAGGACTCCATAATCTCTAAAGGCCCTTCCAGTTTCAAAAATAACGCTTTAATCCCCCTTTGTAACTTAATATAATACCTCAGCTATTCCTCTTCTTGTAATCCCAGTTTCAATGAAAGATTTAAATATTTACTTAATAAACCAAGTTTTTAAATCTCAGAATTTAATTTCTCCATTTTACTTATTTTCCACATTCAATTGATTTAAAAACTCTGCTGGTTCTATGCCTAAATAACTCAGACTTATCCCTTCTTTTCCTTTTATCCTGCCACTATCTTTAATCGGGCTTACCATGTCTAATGAAATAACCTTTTATTAGGTCTCCCTTTCTTCAGGTCCCAACCCTCTCCTGATCCAATCCATTCTCCACCCTCTCTACAGAAGTATATTTGCAAATTATGCTTCTGATCATGTAGGTACCTTGCTCAAAATCCTTCAGTGGGTTCTCATACCAAAAAACAAGCACATGTTCCTTAAAATGGCATGCAAATTAAGTTCTAAACTACTTTCAATCTTCATCTCTTATCACTTCCCATCTCCCATACCACAACTTTTTATGTAGGTATACCGGACTACCTAAGATTCTTTAAGTATATCCCATACTTTCCTGACTCCAAGACTTTGTCCACCCTCATCACTCTGCCAAGCATGCCCATCATCGCCTTCTGACATCACTTTATTGCCTTTCAAAATTCAACTCAATCTTTAAAGTCCAACTTCTCTCTGAAGCTTTTTCCAATAGACCCATGCAAGTAATTTTTTCTCCAATCTGTTCCAATAATATTATGCTTATGCCTCACAGTCTTCTACATTTTATAATTAACCGCTATATATTATTAGCTGTTATAATTAGTTGGATCATCTGTTTATCTAGACGAGGATAATATCTACTTTAAATTTTTGTGAACAATGGCTGACCCACTCAATAAATGCATTTTGGATTAAGTTAAAAAGTAAAAACAGAATTACACTACTTTCATGGTGAACCTACTTTCCAAAGAGATCAGTGGTTCACATAATCATAGAAACATTCTAGAAATGTAAACAGAAGAATATAAACCTATGTAGTAGAAGAAAATAAGGAAAATAGTATCCAAAAAAGGCATTCCTGGCTTTACAATGAGTAGAAATAATACCCAAACGTTGTGATGTTGGGATTTGTTGCATTAGAAAGGAAAAGATTTTCTCTGAAAATTACTTAAGAGTAACAAAAATGTGTAAACTTGAAAGCTTGTTAAAATTTTCCAATTCATATAATGTAAATATATAATCATCCAATTTCTAATATTTTCCTTGAAGAGCCTTATAATTAATTTTGTCTCTACAAAGCCAAAGAAAACATTAAGCAAGAATCACCTTCATCAAGCAGAAGTTTGTTTTATTTCTCTCTTTGTGATAGTTAATTTTGGTGTCAACTAGCCAAGGGGTGCCCACATTAAATGTTATTTCTGGCTGTGAAGGTGTTTCCGGATGAGATTAGCATTTGAATCACTGGACTCAGTAGCTTGCCCTCCTCAACGTGAGCGGGCACCTGGTGATGGCCTGAAGAGAACAAAAATATGAAGAAGGAGGAATTTCTCCCTTTTTTCCTGCTTCTCTTTTGAGCTGGACATCTCATATCTCTCTGGCCATGAGACTGGAATGTACACTATGGGCTCCCCTGGTTCTCAGGCCTTCGGACTCAGACTGAATTACACCACCATTTCATGGATCTCCAGCTTACAAACAGCAGATTTAAGACTTTTCAGCCTCCATCTATCTATCTATCTATCTATCTATCTATCTATCTATCTATCTATCTACCTACCTACCTACCTACCTACCTACCTGTCTATTTATCCTACTGGTTTGGTTTCTCTGGAAAATCTTGACCATATACTTTTTTATGGTCGTGTTATACTTCTTAACCTAATCTGGTCATGTTCCCCTCGAGATTCTGTTGCAAATTATAAAAATGCATCTATGAATATTACACAAAATTAACCATACTGTTTTAGTAAGTCTCCTAAAATCCACCCAAGATCCAGAGACGCTCCAAGGTCCTTTGCTGCATCCACTTGGTACAACTTAAAAACATTTTGTTTATACTTCTCCGTTAAACCATGTTTACTTTTCTTCCAAAATTAATGGACATTATAAAATCTAAGCAATAAATAATGTCTTGAAATACATCAGGAATTAAACAAAGTTATATTAAAAATTGCATTTAATCCAATCTGCTTGAAATTTTTTAAAAAATTAAGCAGAGTAGTAATTCACTGTAAAACAGAAAATAGAAAACCAAAAAACTTTACAAAATTTTAAAAAGTGAAAAAAATGAAGTGACAAATTCTAAAATCATCATAAAAAATATCACTATTCAAAGAACTGAACTGGATTACTGATGCAATTTCTAGACACACTTTGATTCTTATTAATATAATCTTTAAAGACAGAACAAAATTATATTTGTAATGAATTATCCTTCCATTATATTAAATTAGCTTGAATGCCTCCTTTTAGGAACCACCATACACACAAAAAAGACTACAAAAAAGGTGAGACAAAATATCTCATCCTTAAGCAACCTGCAGTTTTTGAAAGCTAAGTTTCCAACAATATCAACTTAATACAAAACTTTCTGCTCTGTCTTTAATATTGTTAATGTTTTGCTACTTTATAGTTCCTAAAATGTACTCAGTATGACTTAACTATGTTAAAATATATTCCTGAAATGTAATAAATAAAATGTTGTATTATTTTCGTAAAGTGAAGTCTCTTTTTTCATTTACTTTCTCCATATTCAAACTTTCAGATATGTTTTTCCCTCATAGTTGATAACTGAAAAGACCAAAAGAACTATACATATGGGTATATTTGACACTTACTGGTAACTGGTTGCCTGATAAAGAAGAGAGAAATGGCATAAGTGTGTGAAGTAACCCAGGGATCCATTTAATAGGGCATTTTTCTTTCTAAAATATAAATTTATTAGTTGAATGCACAGAAGAAAGAAGTTTATGAAGTAATATATCTTTACCAGTGTTAATTACATTTTTTTCTTATTATGCTAAAAGTATACTCCATGGAATTAAGTGCACCCAGTATATTTTGGTCTCTAGGATAGACATAAAAATGTACACTATGGGATATCTCTGACATGTTACAGAAATATTATCTAGTACTCTATACTTATTCTAATAGTAAATTAACTCATGTAAACAAATAAACTCTTGAAACGATTTCTAATACTAAAGCCACATGGTTTGCCCCAGGAAAATTACGTTCCTAGTTGTAGTAGTTACCAGGATTTCCCAGAGAAACGATGGTACAAAAAGTAGGAGAGAGAGAAAGAAAGATAAAAGATGTCCGTTAAAAGTCATCATTTTAGCTTAATATCCCTGCATCCAAGTTTCTAAACGACTTGTAAAGAACTTATTTTCTTTTCAAAACAGAAGATGATTTTGACTAATGACAATAGAGTGAGATGTGCAGAGAAATAAAGACCCAATCAAATCTTGATATATAGTTCTTTTACATTACCTATAAGAAAAGGATATGAATACTATATCTCCTTCTTACACCACTTAAATTTAACCAGGTACTAGAAATTAATGTCAAATAGCATCACTTCTCCCCCAATGTGGCGAATGTAAAAACCATTATCTTCATGCACAACTTTCCAATATGTCCCCAAGTCCTTCACCCTTTCTGTTGTACATGTGTGTTCTGCCTCTCTATCTTTGCTCTTGTTCTTGCCCGAATAAACATGCTGTTTTTTCAAGGTCTAACTCATGTCCTACATTCTCTATATAGCTTTTAAAGAAACACTTGAATTGACTGATTTCTCTTTTTTCGGCTTTACTGATAGGCACATTAAAACGTAAATTACTTGTAAGTCAAAAGATCTTTTTAAAATGTTATGAGTAAGGCACAATTTGAGTACATACTATGCAACTGGAGGCACAGTGTCCTTTTATCTACACAAAAACCCTTTAAAGCTGGTACTAATATTCTAATTTTGTACATAAAGAAATCAAGTGTCAAAGAGGTTTAATCTTCCCAAAGATACGTGGCTAGTAACTAGTAAAAAGCCTCAATTCAAACTTAATGCCATTTGGTTCCAAATCCTATGAAAAAGAGCATATATAATACTGTTCTGGTCCAGTGTTGTGTACCACTCAAAATACCTAAATTTTACTTACTATCTCAAGGGAAATTCTCTTTTAAGCTTTTTAATCAACAGTATTATTGATTCAATAAAATGCTGTTCATAAAAATTCACTGTAAGAGTTCTAGAGTATTCTTATCTTCTAAATAGTACATAAAATTGCAATGCCTTCACACACATTCTAATACTAAAACTCTTTTAGAATATTAGAATAAAACAGAAATTTAGGACTCACTTGTTTAATAATGTGATAGACTACCTACGTAGATAATACTGTACTTCTTGATTTTTGATTCCTCGTGTTAATAAATAATGATTACACAGATAACTCAAAAATAATATATTAGAAATGGCTTTATAGTCCTATTTAATTGAAATTCTATTTTATTTATTTCAAAAAGGATTCAAAACAGCTCACAATTAAGAGTAATTATGATCTGATAATCTACAACACTCTAAAAGAGTAATGAAACCACATGGGTCAATTTTCCCCAAAACTTTTGAATCACTTGAACTTTTTGGCTAAATTAAAAGAGCCATAAAGTTATAAAATAAACAAGAAAAATATAATGACATTTCAATTATGACTATATTAGCTGTTACCAAGGATTAGTCAACAAGGATTTAACAGCAAATTTTTTGTCATTAACCCCAGCGCCATTTGCCTTAAAATATTGATAAATATGTTTGATATAAGATTATTCTTGTTCTTGAGTATAATTCTGCAGGTTAATTTTATTCTATTATTCTCTGCAAGATTTAGACCTTATTGTTCTCAGAAAAAATATCAACTCCGTTTTTCATTAAAAGAAAAACTCTACATAAACTTAAAGGAGTTAAAGTTATTCCAGACTTTTCTCTCTCACCATTTCCTTAAAAAATCTTAAATGAACAAGGAATTTATGAATTGCTTTATAAATCATTTCTAGAAATGATCAAACTCATTAAAACTCTATTAGGTAACAAAAGTACTCATTCACCTACCCTAATATGACTCCTGCCAACTCCTAATCATGACAATATAGTTATCTTTCTTTTATTATTATTGCACTTGATAAGCATCAATTTCTATAGGTGGCATGCCTGTAATTACGTCTAAAGAGACAGATCACTATGAAAAAGTCAAACAAAAAGAAATAAAATACTACATTAACTTTCATTCAACACAAATAAAGATATTAATTTAATAACTTCCTATTTCTTCTTAGATCTCGGACACAAAAGCCAATATTTGTTTGACAGTATTGAAGACTAAGATATTCCTTATTTTTTCTTTTGGAAAAGTGTTCTCAAACACAATGAAATTATAAGCACAAAGTGAGTATAACTCTAGATTTAGACAAAACAATTAAATTTATAAATATTGACAGCAACTTCTCATTTCAACTGATTTAAAAGCCCCCAAGTGTTTTTACTAAAATTGGTTTACGATGCATACAAAGAGACTTCTGAGTTCCCTTATTTTATCATAATATTCTCTGAATAGTGCATTAAGCTTTCTTTCCTAATTCTTATCTCAAACCCATTTGATAGTTGGGGGGAAATATAATAGCATTTTTCATTTTATATATAACCAAACCATAAATTAGAGGGTTAATCAATTTGCTTAACTTAAAAAAAATTCGTAATAATCAATGTATACATTGAAATATACCATGTTATTTCCAAGTATGTCACATTTAATGGAGCAAATTCAGAGAATTCTTCCAAATACAGAAATCAACAAGCATGACTCTTTAAGATGCTTAAAACGTTTACTGAAAGCCATGAGGAAAAACCTCTTCATGAATTAGTTTTTGTGTTTGTTTCCAAAACAAACTAGACTTGTCTCAATATTATATAAAAAGTAACATTGATTTCCCTAATGAATTTATCTCATGAAAATATTTTTATACATAATGATTGGTTATGATAACTGGTTTGATGTAGCAAACGACCAAAATTGCAAGAGCAAGATGATTTTATTTTTTTTCTTACCAAAGAAAGGTTGCTTTGTTTGTTTTCTTTTTCTTTTAATGATGTGGTGGTCATAAGAATGAATGTAGGTATTGTAAAGGAAACATAAGGTTTTAGAAACTAAGATAAGAAATACCCAAGTTCAGGATGAAAACATTTTATGGTAACATCTTCTTCCTGAAGGCAGTGATTAGAATAAGGTCTAATAGTATTTATCATATTTACCTGTCCCTATCTGGAGAATAACGGTCATCCACGACACGATGTCTATCTATTCGGCTAATTGTATTATAATGTCCGGTAGTAGACCGTGTCCCTCGAAGTCCCTGTTCCACATTCCGACTGAAATAGGAAGATCCATTAAATATCTTAATAAACCATAATCATATACTACACTAAGAAATGAGTTTATTAATGAAGATTGTATAAAAAGACAAAAACCACTGTAATGTCAAGTCCAAGTTTTTTGTTTTATTTTAACTAACTGCACCTCTGCAATGGTATAAATTACAACTTGAGCTTGACAGCGAAGTTAGGAAATTGCTGCAAAACAGAGATACGACATAAAATTATGCTAATATCAATGGGGACATCAATCCAAAACTATTAATGGGTGACTCCCAACTCTCTAGTAGTGATACTTAATGATATATGAAATACAGGAGGAGGAATAGTTTTGTGTGGAGAAAATGAGCTCAGCGTGTTGCTTATAGACAATATATTGGTGGATCTTGTTTTAGGGATAATGATTGTGACTTGTTTTTTAAAATCTAAACTGAAGTCTTGATAATTGACCAATGATGGTTTTTTTTTTTTTTGGCTACCATTCTTGACCCAAGTTGTCTACTTACATATTTTTCATGATAGAATAAACCTTTTATGTAAGCTCCTGTTATTGTGGGCTTTCTCTTATGTGCACCTGAATCTAATCTAAAACCTATGCCCATTTTCTATTGGTGTACTCAAATATTCTTTCCCTGATAAAAGTCAAGCATTCCTTTTTTTTTTAATGAGGAAGGGCTTAATTTATTAAAGTTACAAATTCAAAATCCAGCTCTCTCTTAAACTTTAAATTTCAGATTTCAAATCTTATTAGTCTATTGATAGGTCTACCACATTTAAGCAATTACTCTTTAGAAGACTTTTAATAATTTTAGTCCCATTTACAAACTTAAGTTAATTCAACATCTTCAAACATTTCAAAGTGTATTTATAAACTTAACATTTTAGATTTTCTTTTTAATTACTTCAATTGTCTAAATTAAGTAAATACTTTTTAAGTGCTTAATATCCTTACAAATTAAGTTAAGTTTATAAATATAATAAATCTTAAGTCCTCTTAGATGGTCCAAATACCATGTATAAAATTAAGATTACAATTAAAAATTCTAAATATAAAACTAACTCAATTATTCATTTAAAATAGGCATTATAAGACTATCATTCTAACAGTTCCGATTTTCTTAAACACTGCCAGTCTGCAGTATGTGAATTATGCACATATTTCTTGTTAGAAAACATATTATTTCCATGGCTCTTACTCCATTAAGCCTTTCTGTACTTAACTGGATTGATCAGTTTTCCACTAGACATAAGACCCGGAGCTGCAGATTTTCTGAGCCGTTCTTCCCACCACTCATGCTTTCCTTTTCATTCTTTGCATGATTGTTCATAATTTTAAAGTCCCAACAGATGTTTATTTTTCCTACTTTTTTTTTTTGTTGTTGTTGAGGAGATCAGCCCTCTGCTAACATCCGCCAATCCTCCTCTTTTTTTGCCGAGGAAGACGGCCCTGGGCTAACATCCGTGCCCATCCTCCTCCACTTTATATGGGACGCCGCCACAGCATGGCTTGCCAAAGCAGTGCGTCGGTGCGCGCCCGGGATCCGAACCAGCGAACCCCGGGCCGCCGCAGCGGAGCGCGCGCACCCAACCGCTTGCGCCACCGGGCCGGCCCCCCTACTTTTTAAATTATCAACATCTATATCATTCATGAGTATAATTAGTTGATTCTAACTAGATCTGCTCAATACTGATATGTGATTGAAAGCTGGATCTTCTTTATGATTTTTATTTCTTACAATAAAATAATATATAGGTCATCCAAAGTTACAAAGTAGCCTATATTTCATATTACTTTCATTAGATAAGTTATTGAATAGCATCTTTGTTTTTCCTTAAGTAACTTTTTTCCACAAGAATTTATTATTTTTAGAGATTATTAATGATACTTTGTGATTAATAGGCTTATAATACCATCCTACAAATAAAATATATACGCTATCTTACCTTTGTGGAGGAGGGACACTGGGTGACCATGATCTAGTCCTTCCTATAACATCTACTCGGTGAGGAGACCCTGATGGTGAACAATGGTTTGATGACATTACTTCTTCTGGCACTGATAACGTTGAGCTTTGAAGATCTCGACCATTGTGTCGATAATCTAAAGGCGAAAAGATTAAGATTATAGTTATCTACACACTGTCTTTTTGTATTTTGTACTTTACTGAAAAACATAAAATGATGAAGTTGAAAGGCTCTGAATATATTAAATGTAAAGCATAATTAATAAAGCATAATACCAAGACAAAATAATACATTGTAAACACTTAAATTAAAAAGAAATGACAAATACTCAAATATTTAGATAGCTACCACGTCCAAGGCACTGTGCTAGGTGGAGTACACTTTTATATAGAGTTAATTATCTTCAATAAAAGACTCAAGTTCGTTCTAAAAGATTTTCATCTCTTCATTGACCTAGAAGAGCTTCAAATATTTCTCAACAATTATAAATATTTAGAATGATTAACCTTCAAAAAGTTCCTAAAAGTCTATAGTTATTTCTTTAAGAGATAAACAATATTAGAAGGCACTCAATACCATTTGATATACCTATGTAAGCTGCTTTTCTTATAGTATTTGATAGGGCTGACATACAATAGAAGACTGAGAATAAAAATACGACAAATTGGAGGCGGGGAAATAGCCCAACAATTTGACACACTTAGACAAAGTGTATTAGAAGTGGTCTTACCTAAATGAGTCCTAGAAAACAAGTGATATTTGACAGAGGGGGAGAAAAGTAGAAGGAATTTTAAGTTGGTAGCAAAACAGCAGTTCAGTGTAGGGCAGCAGTAGGGGAATAAGCAGTAAAGGTAAGTTTGATCCAAGTTGTATACATTTAAACGTCATGAGGTTTGTAATGGAAAGAACCTGAAAATTTCTGAGCAGAAAGTGATATTACCACCACTATTATCTTCATCATGCTCATCATGGCTACTATTAACCGACCTTTCACTATGTGCTAGGAACTCTGTTAGGCACTTTACACAGTGTTCTGCTACAACACTGTTTCAGAAGTAACTCAGAAAAATTATTGGTTCATATGTGATTTTCCGCAACATGTTGACATTTTGCAGTATCATCTTAGGTTAGGTTTCTTAGAAATAGAGCAAAAGACAAAGATTAGGGTGCACAAGGATAATTGAAGGAGTGCTCTCAGGAGAAAGGAATTAGAAGAGCATAATACGGCATGAGAAGAAACTAAGCAAGAATGTGACCTCAGCCCAATCCTACTGGAGTCTCTGGAACTTGAATTGCACCAGAGTTGCTCCAACTTTGAGGAAAGGGTCCTGGACTTTTGTATCCCTATGTTAGCCAGTCACTGGCTGAAGACTGCCAGTGGGAAGTAGGTGAGGTGCTTAACTTCCTGATGACACAGGTGATTTCCATTTGTCTAAGGCCAATTCTCTGAAGAAGAGGGCAGTTGTGAGATGTTAGCAACCAACATTCACGGTATCTGGGGACGGGTAAACCAGCTGAGGTAAAGGGGATATGGGTAGGGCACCAACTATCAAATGATAGCAGTTGAATGCAAAGTACACTAACACAGCTGGATGCAGCAAGCCAGAAAAATACAGAACCGTTCGTGATGCTCATTCATCCATGTTCTTCCTCTTGGCTCACTTTCATCACAAACTCTATCTTAGAGGTACTCATTGCGTGAGTTCTTCTGGTGTTTGTGAATATTTCTCTTGACATCATAACTTTGCAGACTTATCCTCCTTTCCATCTAGATATATACCTTCTTTTTTTTTTTAAGTCTTACATTTAATATTTTTTATTGCTTAAAATTTAACATGACTTTTTAATTGTGCTTGTATTTTTATTTTTAGTGTTCTGATTACAAAGCTACATGGGTTTTGAATGGTCTTCTAACCCGGTTTTCCAAGACACCCCGTTGTTTTTTAGTCCATGTTTTTGCAGAGCACAAGGTTTTTTCAGGAATACATAGATGATGTAATAGAAACACTTCTGCAAAGAAGATATTATTATCCCCATTTTACTTTTGAGGAATCTGAAATTTACATTAAATGTCAAATACTAGGGCTGATATTTAAAATAAGATCTATCTGACTTGAATGCGCTCGCTATGTTCTAATACTACATTCTGCTCTCATGATCGAAACAGTAATTTAGGAAGATGAAGCTGACAGCAGTGTACAATTCAAACTAAAGGTTAGAGAGATTGCAGTGAGATTAATTGCTCTTATAAAACTTAGAACAGACTACACCGAAAGAATCAATACATTCACTCATTCAACTAATATTTATGAGTGTATGTGCATGCTAGATATTACTCTATGTGTTGCAGTGAGTAAAACAAACAAAAAGCCTTACCCTTGTGGAGCTTAAATTCTAGTTGAAGAGTGATAGAGACAATAAAAAGCCCAAAAAATAATTATATGATATGTTTGAAGGTGATTAGGTGCTATGGGGAAAACAGAACAAGGTAAGGGAGATCGAAATGCCTGAGTGCGTGTGACATGTTCACAGAACAGCAACGACAATAGGGTGCTCGGAGTTGAGCAAGTGATGAAGACAAGAGATCAGAGAGATTTGGAGGAAGGGGGGAGATCATGTAGGGCCTTGTATTGTAAAGATTTCTGGCATTTAATCTGAGTGACTTTAACCCATTGGAGGATTTTGAGCAGAAATGGACATGATCTATCTTTTCCTTAAACAGGATCACTACAGTTGCTATGCTGAGCATAAATTAAAAGGAGACAGGGCAATAAAGTCAGGCAAGAGATAAAAGTAGTTTTAACTAGGGTGATAGCAATGGAGATGATGGGAAGTAGTCAGATACCAATAGATTTTGAAAGTAGAGCCACTAGAATGATTTTGTGAAAGATTTGATGTTAGACATAAAAGAAAAAGACAAGAACAAATCTAAAATTTTAATTCAAGTAAAGAAAAGAATAGAGTTGCTATCAAAAGACACGGTTTGGTGGGAAGGATCAGGAGTTCATTTTTGGGCACCTTAAGTTGATGATTTCTACTATATTTCCAAGTGGAGATGTCTAAGAAGGCAGTAGAAAATAAAAATTTAGGGTACAAATAAGTGCTCTTGACTGGACATTTGGGAGTTTTAGCATATAGAGGCTATTTAAAGGCATGGGACTTTAAACAGATGAGCTCACTAGGGGAGTGAGTGTAGATAAAGAAAAAGTCCAAAGATGGAGTCTGGGGGCACTTTAATATGAATCAATAACATGTTGTAATTAGATACAGGAACAAAAAAGGGGAAGAAATAAATGAGTCAACTTTTGATTAGCCCATTAGGAAGTTAAGAGTATACTACAAAGAGTAAGAGAAATTGAGCAAGGTTTACCAGTTTGGAAAGAGGAAGATAGCAATATTTTCAGGCATGTAGGCAAACAGTTACATATGCGGAAAAGAATCTTAGGAAAGGCATTATAACTATTGATAAAGATTTCAGAGTCATTTATAAAAAGAACATTATTGAAATTCAAGGTAAGAATATATACAGAGAAAAGAGATCTGACTACTGAGTTTAAGGGAGACTATTGAGAAAAAAGGCAAGAGATACTACAAGAAGAAAATTCAAATAACGCAGTCACATGGAGATTCACAAGAAGCACAGATTTTTAAGAAAATATTCATGATTAATAACGCAAAGTGCTACTTAGAAGTGATAAAAAATGAGTCCTGGGGATAGATAATTGATTTAGGAAATTAGAAAATTATAGGTGACATTTAAGAGCTAATTATTGAAACATCTCTCTACCTTCCCAATGTAAAATAAATTATTTACATTTGTTTGTATATGGCTTCAGGTCAGAGTAGAAAATAATACTAAAATTTTATGTGGCTATGATTAATGTTTTATATAGATATATTCCATTTATTCATGTTGTAGGGTGAGTCAGTTGGTTCAAAGAATGGTTCGTTTATAATCATTCTGGTTCTCCTGACTCAGTATACCATGGGGGCCAAAATCCATGCCTGGTACTGCCTCCCTGAGAAGATGATGAAAAAACTATGTCTCAAAATCATATTGGATTTTAAAATAGCAAAATATAGAACATTATACAGCAATCTTTTCTCCTCAATAATTATTAAATGATTCACTATGTAGTCTCTACATAGGCAAAAAAAATAATGTTGAGACAAGAAAAGGTGATTTTTTGTGATGCTGAAAAATAATGAACCCAGGGTAAATATTTTGAATTGTGTCGGTTTTCCAAATACTATTCTGTAATAGCAAAAAATTTATTCCCAAATATATTAACCCAAATAAGGAAAGATTCGCATAAAGTTTTTTTTCAAAAGATATAATCCCTTTAACAGAATGGAAAAAATAATAAAATTATGATATTTTTGCCACCCTGAAAATAGAAAATGAAAGAATTAAGATGTGCCAAAAATGGCCTCAAGATGAAAGGCTTTAATGACCTGAAGGAAAATATTTTGGATGAAGAAACCTGATGTAGCTATATATCTAGTAAAGAGAAGAAGTAGAAAAGTCAATTATCCAAGGAGTAGAATACAAATAGAAAAAAACTGTAATGATCTCCAAGCAAGAGACCATGGGAAATATTTTTCAAAACCAATTTATTGAGGTTTAATTCACAAATAATAAAACACGGAAAATATTTTTGCAGTCTTACTAAATTAATATATTGTTCACCCTTAACGCGAAAAATAAAGGCTAACAGATATTGAGTTTTCAAAAAGTAGTACATTAATAGCATGCTAACTGACCCATACTTAACAAAAACTGTCAAACAAAAATTCAGTCAGAATAGCAGTCATTGATGCAACTGCAGCATGTCTTACATAAAATAGAACATATTTTGTTTATTAATTTTGTTCAAGAAGAGAATCAAACATTTTTATAATACTAAGAATATAATGTATATATAAATACAAACATTTTTTCCAGAATTTATTTAAAAAATAGCTACTTACCTAAAATATTAAATCATCAGATAAATTTCAAACCATAAATTAGGCAATATTTTAAACTACAATATCATAATTTCAAAACGTAGCTGCACCTGATACTTAACACAACAACAACGAAAAAAATTTCAAAAAAGCTCCTTCAAATATTTGAGTTATTTGGGTATGTTGGTGATGTCAAAAAGATTTTATTTTTTTTCACACTGTTAGTGCAGTATATAAAGAAGTTTTAATTATACAATAACCTCTCAAATTTACAGAGAAATCCTTATTACTTAGTAGTTTAAAATAGAAAATTTATAAGTATTCACTTATCTGGCATCTTTTAATAAGAATATTCAATCTAACAATTGGTATAGATGTTCCAGTAACTGGAATTATTCAGCAGTTTAAATTGCCATAAGGTTGTTTTTAAGGGGATAAGGAGGCAAGTTATTTCTCTCTCATTTATTTATTTATTTAATTTATTTACCTACCAATCTATTGGAAAATAATGATGAATTACACTTCCTTCTTATTACTATAAAATAATTCTGAAATTCTTACCTGATACTACACCAATTCCATCATCACAGTCATAGTCAGAGACTTCACTATCACTTATTCTCTTTGACCCTATGAAGCAAACAATAACAATAATTAAAATTGCTGATTATTAAGGGAAAAAAACCCTCACCAACCTGAAAAATAAATGAAAGGATTTTGAATGAAACACTTGAGAATAAATAATTTAGAGAGAAGGAAAGTCATTATGAGCTCACAAACACTTACTTTCACACATATTTCATAAAACTTTAGACCCAATCAAATTTGAGGCTCTTATAACCCCAATTGATATGGCAACTACAATTATCTGACAAAATCCCAACAGACTGGGCACAAAAGCATTTCTAGAATTAGGACATACATTCTAAATGGACTTGGGAGAGAGGAGGGATATACACAGATGAAGCTAATGAGGTCAGAGTTAAGAATTGCTACTTAGCATGTAACGAGATTTCACCTTGCAAATACTCAAGGACAGGGGAGTGATTAGTTTAATGTGCCTGGTACATTATCCATTACAGAGCATAAAGATTATATGATTTTGGTGTTGGTCAAGAATCAGATCCGTGTCTGGTGTAAGATAAGAATGACTCCAGCAAGAAATGAAGTTCATTCTATCAGCTTTTGTGAGCGGTCCTGCCTGAGTGTGTGCTTGGGGTTGAGGGGAAGGGGGTATATGTGGTTTGTAAATGTTGCTTCCTTCCAAATGTTATTGATTACTTCCCTGATGAAAGTCTTGATCTATTTTGCTATTAATTCTACAGAGGTTAAATACTCGCAATTATGTTGTCTCTACTTGGGTCTTGTCTTTTGACATTCTGATGAATTCAAGTACTTAAGTTTAAGGTCATTGAATGTACCAATTTTCTCTTTTCAAAGTAGTGTTGTTAGTGTCTTGTTTCAGAAATCTTTCCTGAGCTTATGAGCAGAGAGATAGTCTCATATTTTTTTTATGAAAGTTTAAAAATTTTGCTTTTAGCATTTACATCCTCATCCATCTTGAATTGAGTTTATTTTATGATATGAGATATGGATGCAACTTTGCTTTTTCCAACACATATCTCTGCATTGCTGACTTAATATTTCCACCTTTCCCCCAATGATCTGAGATGTCACCTCCGTCATAAATAAATGTATACTATCCACTAGGATCTGTTTGGTGCTCTATTTTTTTTGACTTGTACAGGCTATCTATCCATAAATCAACAACTCACTGTCTTTGTTATTCTAACATTTTATATTGAAAAGCAAATCCATCATATCTTGGATCTTTCCCCTTTGCTCTTCCAGATAGAGTTTAGATTCAGGTTATCAAACTGCACAAAAACATCTTATTGGGATTTTAATTTGAATTGCAATGAATCAATTTAGGGAAAATTGGCAAGTATTATAGCATTGTTTTACTAACCATGAACATGACTTTCTCTCCATTTAAATTTCTATGAAACTTTTAACTTTGGCCGCTCAAATTTTCCACATTTGTTGGATTTATCCTTTGTATCTTATAATTTCCATTGCCATATGAAATACTGTTAAAATTATGTTTCCTAACCTAATTGTTCATATATAGAAATGCAATTTTATTGTAAAATAATGTTAACCAACTACCTTGTTAAAGTCTCTCTCTTTCATCTAATAAATTGATTGTGGTTTAATTTGGATTTTTCTATGTACACAATCTTTCTTCCCAATCCTAATGCTTTTTTTCTTTCTTTTTCTTGTCTTTCTATGCTGATAAGCACAATACTGGAAAGAAGCAGAGACGTTTTCATTCGTTTTTAAATTCTGATTTTAAACAGAATTTTTCTAATATTTCACCATTAAAAATGATATCTGGGGGCCAGCCTGGTGGCCTAGTGGTTAAGTTCGTGCACTCTGCTTTGGTGGCCCAGGGTTCGCGGGTTCAGATCCCAGGCGCAGACCTACACCACTCATCAAGCCATGCTGTGGTGGTGACCCACATACAAAATAGAGGAACATGGGCACAGATGTTAGCTCAGGAGCAATCTTCCTCACCAAAAAAAAACCAAAAAAATGATATCTGCTGAAGTTACATTTTATGAGGTTGAGGAAGGTCTCTTTTAAATTCACTAATACTTTAGTAAGGATTTTCGCATTTTTATTTACAAGTGAATCTGGCCTGTTAAGTTTCCCTTGTTGTATTAACCATTTGGTTTAGGTTCAAGGTTATACTGGCCCAATAAATATTGAGAATTAGTCCTTTTTTAATTCTCAGGAAGAATTTGTGTAGGATTATAAAAAAATCTGTTCTTTGAAATGTTGATGGAACCCATCTATAAAACTATCAAGGTTTGGTGTTTCCTTTTGGGGACTATTTTAAATTATTAATCCATTTTTCAGTAGATGTAGAATGTCTTCTTGATTCAAGGTTTAGTAAGTTATATTTTTCATAGGAATTTGTTCACTTTGTCTGAGTTTTCAAAGTGTTTGCCACAATGTTCATCATTTTATCTTATCTATTTATTTTCCGATGTATCTATTATGGCTCCACTTGAATCCTGTACCTTCTTTTTATTCCACCAATAAATTTCACTAAAAGTTTTTGGGGTTTTTATGTGTGTGTGTGTGTGTGAGGAGGACTAGCCCTGAGATAACATCTGATGCCAATCCTCCTCTTTTTGCTGAGGAAGATCAGCCGTAGGCTAACATCTGTGCCCACCTTCCTCTACTTTATATGGTACACCGCCACAGCATGGCATGACAAGCAGTTCGCAGGTCTGAGCCCAGGATCCGAACCTGCAAACCCCAGGCCACCAAAGGGGAGCACATGAACTTAACCGCTACGTCATTGGGCCGGCCCCTCACTAAACGTTTATTTTGCAATTCATTTCAAAGGATTAACTTCTGGGTTCCATAATCCCATCAACTAGAAATTTGTTTCTTACTTTATTGATTTCTACTCTTATTTTTATGCTTCTACTTCAAATTTATTTGACTATTCTTTTCCTAAACTCTTAAATTGGATGAGTATATCATAATTTTCAGCCTTTTAATCTTTACTAAAATAAGCACTCTTCCTCTAATTACTTGTTTGCATTACTCAAATATTTATATGTAGTATATTCATTAAAGTTCAGGTCTAGGTATTTTATTCTTGGGTCTATAAGATATTTACCATAATTCATTAAATCTAAGACACCACTGATTGAATAATGCATGACAATTGCAAGAGAATAGATCTTTTTCATTAGAGTAAAAGCGTCTATTTTTGAAAATTTTCAAATGTATAGGTATAATTTATTGTTTTTTTTAAAAATTGACATAGGAACACTGTAGTCCAAAAAAAAGCCTATATTTGTCAATTCTTTGAAATTTGTCAAAAATGAGTTGTTGAATAGTATATTAATAATTCTTATAAATGTTTCATGGATAAAGCAGAGGAATATGAATTCATTAATTATTAGGTGTAGAGTTCTTTATTTGACCATGAGATTAAACTTGTTAATTGTGTGATTTGATTCTTTTTTATCTTCCCTAAATTTTTGTTTGCTTGACCTAGCAATGATTGAGAGAGATTTATATTGGAATCTCCTTCAATGGTGGCAAATTTGTTAGTTTTTCTCTCTAGTTTTACTTGATGTATAGGTAAGTTGTTTCATTTACACATGCAAGTTTAAAATTATTTCAATATATGTAGAAAAATCATTTGAAAATGTTTACCCTCCATTCATGATAAAATGTCTCAGCAAACTAGTAAGAAGGAAACTTCCTCAAACTGAGAAAGTGCATCTAGAAAAAATCTACTGCTAACATCACACTTAATTATGAAATATAGAATGCATTGCCCCTAAGACAAAGAATAAGCCAGGAATGTCCATACCAATTCCTTCTATTCAATACTGTACTTGCACGACAGTAAAATACAGCAACAAAAATGAAAGGCATATGATTGGAAAGCAAGAAGTAACATGATCAGTAAATTAAAAATCCTAAGGAAGCTATAAAAAACTTAAGACTAACAATTTAGCAAGATTGCAGGATACCTAGTCAACATACAAAAATGAATTATATTTCTTAAACAATAGCAATGAACAATTAGAAAATTAATTTCAAAACCACTATCATAAGAATATCCAAACACATGAAATACTTAAGATACATTTAACAAAAAATGTGTGAAACATGTACCTCCAAAACCACAAAACACTGCTGTATTAGTTTCCTAAGGCTGCTACAACAAGCCACCAAAAACTGGGTAGCTTAAAACAACAGAAATTTATTGTCTCACAGTTCTGGAAGGTACAAGTCCAAAATCAGGGTGTTAGCAGTGCCATGCTCTCTCTGATGGCTCTAGGGAAGAACCTTTGTCTCTTCTAGCTTCTGATGGTTGCTAGCAATTCTTGGCATTCTTTCACGTGTAGATACATCACTCCAGTCACATGACCATCTTCTCCCTGAATGTCTTCATATTGTCTTCCCCCTGTGCATGTCTATCTCTGTGTCCAAATTTCCTCTTTTTATAAGGATACCATTCATATTGGATTAGGGCCTCCCTTAATGACCTCAATAATGAAAATTTGATTACCTCTGTAGAGAATCCATTTCCAAATAAGGTCACATCCTGAGGTACCGGGGGACAGAACCTGTATAATTTTGGGGGGACACAATTCAACTCATAACTACTAACAAATTAAAGAAAACTTATGTAAATGGAGAGACTTTTCTGCAAAGTTGGAAGCCAGAAATTATTGAAATAACATTGTCAGAGTGCTGAGAGAAAAGTAATTCTAGAATTTTATATATAGCTAAACTTTCCATCAGGAATGAAGAAATAAAGACATATTCAGAAAAACAAAGTGTGTTTCCAGTTCTTCACTGAAAGAACTTCTAAAAAATATGTACTGTAAAAATATAGAGAAATTTACCCCAGAAGGAAGGGACGAAGTGCAAAAAAAAAAAAAGAAGAAAAAGAAAAGAAAGTGATAAAAATTAGGTAAATCTAAACAAACTCTGAATGAACAAAATGACAATAATTATAATAACTACTAATTTGGAGGCAGAGGTAAAAATCTGGTAGTAATATGTTAAATGTTAAGGGCAAGGGTATG